TATTGACTATTTTAGTTGAAGATTTTTTGTGATAGTCACAGGACCTGTTATAAGCTTATATTTTTAGTCAATATTATTCCCTTCAATTCAAAGTAACATGCCATTGAATGAATGAAAATGCACATATTGATTTTGATAAATGAACCAGATTTGATTTTGTGTTTTGTCCATGTATTTATTCTTATTTAATACCCTAAAGTCCGTGAAAACTAGTCATAGCGTCAGGTATTGTTAAATACACCACTGCATTGCCCTGAGTTGTTGCCCTTGTTGAAAGTCATATTATACAAGGATCTTCTTCTCAGAGTTGATGGTTAGTGTGGTTTAATACCAACAAATGTCCAATTTTTGTAAATAATAATTTTATTTATTTTTGCTTGTAGAGAATTGCATTTTTAACCCTGTAGGCCTGACCTACATATGAAACCATTAATATATGTCATTTTATAGACTTGAAGGGTTAAAACTCACTTATTCTTGTTACTCGTGTTCATAGGGTTAAGACATCATTCTGTGTAAATGAGCTTCACAGGTTCAGTATTAATGAAATTACTTGCAGATTCTTTTGCTACTGAAAGTCTTGTTTTTAAATGGTAGGTGTGTGTTTTGACATGTGAATTACATACTTTAAGTGCCCAAACACCATTCAATTACAGAAACATGGTTTATTTAATTCAATATCTTCTACCAGATAATTCCTTTTTGTCAGGTCTCTGGCAGTAATTCTTAATTCCTGTTAAGAACATTAATTCAATTATTTTTCTTAGTTTCGAAAGTTGCATAAAGAATTATTCAGGTACTAGTAAATAGAAACAAGCTTGGTAATTCTTAAGATCAGATATTAAGACTTGTCTTATGGCTTCATTGGCCCCCAAATTTAACAATGAGTAGATGAGCATCCACACATTTGACTTTGCTTCTAAAGCATATAATTTATGTTTGATATATAGTTCTTTTACTTTCAACTTTTCAATGAATGTAGAAGAGTATTTGGAGTTTTGAAGTTTTGGTCTTGCTTATTCTATCAATAATTAGGTTAATATTTTAAGATCAAGAGCCACTTTAGTTTAAGTAAATTGTCTGATATACATGGTGAATGGTCTTATGTGTATTGGTGGTGCCTCGCTTTTGTCAGAAGTCTGCCAGTGTGTTAACAGGCTTTGTCTTCATGAGAGAAATGGAATTACTTTTTTTACTTACAGTGACAAATATGTATTCAGGGGTTCCATATATCCCATTTCAAGCAAAAACAAGCAGATTTAAGTGCAAATGTTGATGTTTCTTTTCCTTTTATATTCAGGTGACTTCACTGGCCATCCATGATCTGGCAAAATTGTATGCATCAGCAGTTCTCCCACAGAACATGATTCCATGAAGAATTTTATCAGATTATGGATGATAAAATACAAAACGAACATCTTTTTTTTTGTAGTGAATGTTTTTCTATTTTTGTACAAGAAAGCTGGAAATTAAGCTCGACCTACAACAATATTAAGCTTGTTTTTAAATTTAAGTTATTTTATAGACAGTCCTTGAATGTATGGTAGTTTTTAACCACTAAAATAGCAGTGCTAGTTTTGAAAATTGTATATTCTTAGAAACATTTTAATATATTCCAGTATTTAATTCTATTTATATTAATTTATGTGCAATGTGTCATTTTCTACAGTGCTTGTCTAAACAATATTTATCTCCTATACAAAGTCAAGATATTTGTACACATCCTGGTCAAATTCAAAACATACAAAAAAAGTCTACCTCATTGTTAGGTTTAAATAGTAATAAACACAATATAAGTCTGACTTGTTTCGTTTAAATTGCTATTTATTCTACCTATACCTAAAGACAAAGTGAACTGTTTGTGTTTTCAATAGGACCTGGATATGTACATATATCTTATTGTAATAGTAATATGTCTATTATCTTGACCAAACAACTATTGTGATGTTTTCTACTTAAAATGCACATGTTTTACCATAAAGCGGCCCTCACACCATAGTGGTTACCAGTTGCGTTTGGTTTGTGAATAATGAAAGTGGGCAACTCACAACTTGAGATTTGCTTTTGAATCAACTGTAATTGTTTTTTTGCACAACTGGTTATCGCTATGTTGAATTTTATTAAGAAAGTCATAAATGGTTTTCTTTTGAGTTTATTATGATAAGACTGTCTGATAATTTCTGGTGTACGTGCCATTCAGTAAACACCTTCATTAGTATTGCATAGAACATAGATATCTGAAGTTTCCTTAACATACATCTAATGTATTGTTATGTAACTACAAAATGCTGATATAGAAAGATAGGCGCTAATAAACTATTTTTTTATTTAAGTGACTATCTTTCTCTTATCAGCATTTTTTAGTGATATTTTATTAAGGAGACTTCAAATACCTGTGCATAGAAGCACTGAGAAAATAAAAATAACAAACTGTATTATAGGTTTAGTATTGCTCGCTTATCCCTCAACAAGAAAACAGTCTAGAACATTCTTATACTTAAGTAAACCGCCACAAAATATAGAATTTCACAGAAATGCTAGTACAAACTTACAAACAGGATATAATCCAGCTATTGATATGTAGATATTACTGTGTCATTGTCAATATATCTACATTGGAAAACATGAAACAAAGTCTTGAATTTGGGATTTTTCACATTGTATTAAATTGTGAAAGGACCAGACGTCGGCATAGAATTATAAAAAGTGACACAAACAGCTGAAAAAGAGCTTTGTCAGTTTATTAGAAAAAATTTATGGGTAATTTTCATATGGTCACCCCCCTTACTGTAAAAAATTGCTGGTGGTTTACTATAGTAATTAATACCTGCCAAGGCTGTACTAGTGTGTCTTGTAGAATATGTGTACAAATTCAATGTTAGTTAATATTTATTATGAATTGTAGTAAACTCAATTTGGAGTGCCTTGATTATTTATTATTATTATTATGTCAAATCTGTCTCAAAACTAGTCCAATTATTAGACTTACTAATTTGGCCAAATGGAACATCACAACTAAGCTCATTACTTCTAAATTTTTACCAAGTTTCTAGTACTTTGTACTATTTTTAAGAGATCCTACTAGCTCTGTTTGATTCATCTTCATTTGCATCAGTTCTTTGAAGAATGAATCGTACATAATTCTGGTGATGCTTTGTTTTTAAAGAGTAATTCAGTCTGGTTTTTAAATGCTATTTGTGAATAGAATTGTATATATTTTAATTGTATGTGTGACTATATGTGTTGTTGTCCGCCATTTTAACTATTTGATATTTGTTGTCATGGAAACATTGAAGATTTTCAGTCTTCAGTATAATTGTAACATTATCTGTAAAAATCCTCATTTCTGTAATAAAATATCATCGGTATACTTTTATTTGTATATATCCTTCTGAAAGTACCTCCATATTTGCTTGCCTGGCATAGATCAAGATATACCATGCAAAAAAGTTTTCTTGGTCTACCTAATAACCTTAGGTCCTGTGTGCAATAAAGATCCTTTGACAGTTCGAAAAGATTAAACTGGTGTATCTGACCTGACAAAATTTTCTTCTTTACATGTAGTTGATGCTAATGTCCATTGACAAAATTGAAGCAGAGCAGTAGGTAGTCTGAAACATCTTCCTGTATTCCAGCCTCTGATGGATACTTTGACAGTTGTCAGATGGAGTAGAGTCAGGAAAAAAGAGACGTAGTGTTGGGCATCACCATAACATTTGTTTCGATTTTGACCTTTGAACTTTTGGCTGCTCAGAGTGGCCAGTGCTAGATCAGTTTCAAACTTCGATGGAACCCTCGACTTGACATAAATGGTGTAAGGAGAAAAATGATGGTATGACTGAACTACAAAAATATTCATCATTCCAAATATATCTAGGTTTTGCAAATCTGAAGTATTTAAATAGGGTTAAAATCCCCACACATGCCTTGATGTGGAACGTTCCTATTTATCGGGGTCTTTTTTTTTCTGTCTCTACTCCAGCTGACATCTGTCCAAATAGCTATCAGAGGCTGGAATAGAGACAGATGTTTCAGTCTAAGCAATAGAGTGAAAAATCCATGATTTCATTTGAATTAAACTTTTTGCACAAACCTTGATGAACATTTGGCAAATGAATTCAAATCATCAAGAAGTTCTGAAATACGAGAAAGAGGACAAATCAATGTTGAGAAAATTTTACTATGGATTTATTACTGTATATGTATAATAAATAAGTCATAATAAAAATGTGGATGTCATACCATTAAATATAGAGTATAAAGCCGAGTCTATTCAGTTGAAAACAAATCACTTTAGTCAAAAATATTCTAAATAGTATAAAACAAAATATATAGACAAATAAAAATTAGTTTGTCTAAATTGTAAACCCCATTGATGAAAGAAAATTTATAAAATTGTAAACTTTTATAGATGTAATAGTAACACTTAATGCATCTATTCATACCTTCTTCCATCTAAAATCTGTAGTTCCTTTAATTCTAGAAGAACTTATTCCGATGAAGTAGTATTTAAGTTTTAATGTTAGCAATGTTAAGAACTGGTCATTTATTTTCTGGAATTGATGTCAGTCAGTTGGGGACAATTACAATTGTACAAGAGTAAATTTTGTGATGTATTCAGACTAGAATGGTTCTAATAGTATTCTTTAGATAGAGTTATAGTTTAGATTGGGTTGTTCCACGTAGTAATTCTCTCATATGTTTATAATAAGCTGGATGAACCTACAAAAAAGGAATATAAGGATGATATATCGAAAAATAAAAAATATTAGACACATAAGCAGTGCTGAGTTGACAAACTCAATAGCAGGGTGACATCAGGTTCCAGCAGGTTGAGCAGGCCCTATAAACTAATTAATGGATTCCTCAGAGACCCCATTCAAAAGGCATATAAGGTTGAAATTTGAATTTTTCTACAGATTGATACCATTTTACTAATAATGATCATTCAAATTTCAAAAAATCTTAGGAACTACTGACGAGGAGTCATTTAAATTCATTCAAACCAAAATGCAAAAAGTGACATTGCCAGTAATACTTACATCTGTTTTATTGAGAGGTTCTCGTAAAGCTGATTGATATAAATGATGATAAACATTACCATCATATTTCCCTAACACTGAACCATGTGTTTCATCATGAATATCAAATGCATCTACTAATGCTACAGCATCTGGTCTGCGAATATAGAAAGACTAATTTTTAAAGTTTTATATAGGTAGATCTACACCAGGTGGATCCTGACCTTTCAAAATATTTGCCTCATTACACACTGCTTGATTGACATGGCCCACTTTCATTATACCAGTCATTTGTTCATATTTCATAGGCATGTAAGGCCAATCCCTTTCAGAAAATAATTGAAATATTGTTTTTACAAAATTTTTAATAAGGTGCCTTTCCTTATGGAATCTGTTTTTCAGGCTAAATATAGCTTTAATCCATAAATATAATTTGAAATCAGCACTGGTTTTTGCTAAGAAATTTGGTGGTGTTGTATAGAATACTCTGTTTAACTGTTTTAGATATTAAATCCATGAAATAGTGTTCAAATTTCAATATTTTGGACATTTAAGCTTCGACTGGAATTGACAAGAACTAAACGTCTCTAAATTATATTATAATATATATTTTCCATACCTTATTTCAGACAACAGTTTTATTTCTTCAGCTCTCAATAACTCCAGTTGATACACAGATATTGAAGATGTCTACAATTAATAGATGATAAATATATAAACCAATTCCTTCATGAATAGCACAGTACATTATACATGACTGAGGGGGCATTTCGTTATTGATTTACATTTACTGCAGGGAAATGTCACCTTTCTAGATAGATGTTATCTCTTTCCCTAAGGTGCCTTAAAATTTTTTGATATCTTTAACCAAGTGTAGGTCCTTTCATTACAATGATTTACAAATTATACCTCAATGAAGTCTCCCGAGTTATTAGTAATACCATAAATGGCATAAAACTGACACAGAAGTGTAAGAGCTGATTTGATTGGTTGACTTGAGATTAGATTATCCAGACTAGTAATAAAAGCTAACACTGTGGACAGATGACTGTGAACCTGAAGAGAATAAGGAAATGAATAACATTGAAATCAGCTTAAAGCTCATAACCAAACAACTGAATGACCACAAATAACTGAGCTACTGGATGACTTACAGATTCAAACCTCAACAAGAAGAACCAGATGAACTGATAGGCAGCTGCTTTTTGTGTGTTCAGGTCAACTATATCTAGCAGTTGCAATAAAAATTCAGTTGCTCTCATTCTACTTGTATGCTCAACCTAGATCTGCCTTTAAAAGGATTTATGAGTATCTGGGACCAGTGATAGCACCAATTTATACCATTCCAGTTGTCCTTTCAAATGTTTGTTGTGCCTGCAATTCCACTAAAACTAAATGTTTAGTGTTTGATGTTAGTAATCGCAAAATATGCTTGTATCACATTAGTTATAAAAAAAACTATATTACAATGTAAGCTCAATTCAACTGTAGTTAACTGTATTTAATACTAACCTGAGCAGCTTTAACTAAATTAATCATATTATTATTCCAAGCTACATGTTGTTCTAAACCACTAGACATATCATGATGAAGTTTATGGGCTGTTTTCTTTATTACACTACAAAATAATACATACTTTTTTCATTTGATCATATTTTGTGTGATTAAACTATGATTAATACATACTTGGATATCTCTCTACATTTTGCACAACACCCCTCTGATTTGAAATTCCTATTGGTGGAAAAATTCATCAAAATTTTACTCTTAAAAGTGGGCTAATAATAAAAGTACATGTTCAATAATGCATTAAAGGGAATGAATAGCATGTTAGCAACAACCAAACAGTAACCCATAACTACCCACAAGTGTTGGTTAATTTGTAAACTCGCCTTTCTTAGGCTTCCTTAAAATGTTTTTTGGAAGGATCTGGGAATGAATCTCTTACCTAGCAGCCATATTTTGATATATACCAGCTAGTATATTGAGATCTCGACAATGTTGTGATGTATTTATTGGGTTGGTATATATATTGTCTGTATTTAAATAAGCTGTATATCCTCCAACTTCCTGTCCTGACACCACACTAGCTACTTGTTTCATTAAATATCTACAATATTTGAATAATAAATGAAATATCCTATTCCATGAGATCATTTGAACACTGAGGTTATACTCTGAATTCCGCGAAATAGTCATCTCACAGGCAACTTTGGTATAAATCTTGAATTTATGCAGATTTTAGTGTTAAAAGATTTTTTCATGGAGAGATTAATTGGTAAGTAAATATGGCAAGATAAAATATGATTATTGAGTGTTGATCAAAGATTAATGGAGCTCACCTAGCAGTTTGTTGATAGAGAACAGTATTTTCACCCTCAGCAGTAATAATAGTATTACATCCTGCAACAGCTTCACCAATACCAGCTGACCATAGGTAACCATGACCACCACATGCTCGACGACAGATTTCAGCATGATATACTGCAAGTTCTCCACACATTGCTTTTAGTGCTGACGACTGACTGTGAAGCTGAATTCAAAAACACTTACTATTCAAAGAGTTGTATGTTGAACATGTTTGATTCATGTATGGTTTAAAGAGGATTAAAATGATAAAAATACCAAATAAAACTCAACAACTACATGGTCTTACAATGGAAGGGTGACAATGACATAAGGTGTCCAGAAGTAAATACACAAAGCCTGCTCATTTAGCCTGTCTAAATTATGGACAAATTAAAACTTCGACAAATCAGCAACTCTAGTAGACAAAAATCAACAGCTCTGGAAGACACAAACCAACAGCTCTGGAAGACACAAATCAAAAGCTCTGGAAGACACAAATCAATAGCTCTGAATGACTAATTAACAGCTCTGATAGACACAAATTACAAGTACTGACATAAACAAATCACAAACTCTGGTAAACTAATCAACATCTCTTTTTCCTTACCTCCCCAAGCTGACGATAATTACCCTTTGTGATCTGAGGATAAACTCTATCATAATATTGATGTAACTCTCTAGAAGTGAAGAGTAGAGCGTAGGCTGACGCTAGCGCAGGAAATAATTTATATTGCTGTGATTGGTAGTTAATAACAAGTTCTTCTTCAACCCTGAAAACACACAAAATTCAAGATGAAAGGGTTAAGCCAAAACAGAATCCTCTTTGAAACAGGATCATAAATTATGGTTGAAACAGACTTTACTTTTCTTTTACCAACAAAAACTGCTGTCAAAATTAAGAGTGACATTATATAACATTTGTTAGATTTACCTACCCGTGTATAAAGACTGACCTAAAACCAGCTATAGCTACATAACTTCATAATTTTCATGAATGAAAAACATTCAAAGTTACCTACCCTTGTTTGAGAGAGGACTGTCGTCTGATACAACTATATCTCATTGCTATGGTAACAGAACCTGATAAAATATTTGCAGCCCATTCCGTCATATTGACACGAACCAATATCATAGTAGCATAATTTGCCTTACTGTTTCCTTCTGATACAAATTTACCATCTCGAGACACCTGAAATATATTATCAATCAATCGATCTTTTAGATAAGTAACAATTCATTCACAAGTTCCAATGAATTTTTTAATAAAAATCTTGAAGAAAAATAGATTTATTCATTCATGCAAAATTTTTTTCATGTTAGATTTACAATATTCACCAAATATTAAAATCATATTTTTATTCTTTACTGTAAGACATATTTTACCTACCTTAGCATTTCTCATTAACATATGGTCTCTAGGTATATGATGATTATGAAACTTCAAGAAACCATTATCTACTGTATTTATAGCTAGTTTAGGACCAATATCTCCCACTGTTATACCTACAATTCAAATTATGATAGCTCTTTACCAATGAACAACTTCCATTTCCTAGGTGGAAGGCTATGAATCAAATCCAAACCAAGGTCTTGTAAATAAGATAAATCATACAAGCAAACATCCAAATATCATCATTGAGGTAAGGATGTTTGTTATTTATAAGACATTTTAGAGCTCCTCCTCGACAATCATTTTGGAAGTTCCACATGGCTTATTCTTTTCAATGTCAATCTATAATCTAAGTGAAGGAGATGACATGCTCATTCATCCAGACATATCTGATGCCAATCTGCTACATGGATACCAACTATGAATCCCTTGATGGGAATCTACATAGCTGACAAGCTGTTATATTTGATGTTAGGGATGCCTCACAGAAAATTAGTGACAGTGGAATAGCTTAGTGCGTAGTGGAATGGATTGTTGTTTGATTAACCCTTCAGGAGCTGTGGTTTCGAGCTTACTAACTCATATCACAAGAAGTTCCTATAATGGACAATTTACCTCGTAGAGAGGAATGATCTTCCAAACTTCGTATCTGAACCAAGAATGGATGTAAACCATAATTTTTACCATGTATTATCAATTGAGCTAAAACTATTGCATGAGTACATGACTTTCCCACTGAAAGTAATAAAATGATGAAAGCTTAATGAATGATATACAGAAATTATACAAGTAAAATATAGTATACTATCAAATAGTCAGAGTCTGAATATATCAAAGTTCCAGAAGCAAACTTATATCAATCAAAAGATGGCATCAAAATTCCCTTCCCTTCATCCTTCTATTGCTAACATGGACTGAAAAATATATTCTAATCTATACTTACATCCCCCAGGCCACCATTTCATAGATGTTATATGTGGTGTTCTTAATATAAACTCATCAGTAGCTTGATTGAAGGTTGCAGTTGTTTCAAGTGCTAATATGTTTGTACCTTCAAAATAAATGAAATAGTATGAAACAAGAGTTTGAATTTATAATACTTCTGCTATTTATTGGTAACTATATGTGAGACATAAAAATGTAAAGAAAGGACAATTTCATAAACTTGACCTTTTTGCATTTCCAAATCGCTGAACGATAACAACATGTTTTGGCACAGTAGTCCATTCCTAACCAACTGACTCAAAACTCAACATGAGAAACCAGATTGAGAAACTATCAAAACCTATACCAGAAACAAACTACAGACACTTAAGTTAGTGTATAACCTAAATAACCCTGAACACTTTTCAAAATGTCTCCTAATTGCTCGAGATATAAGGGGCTATATCCCTGCAATGTGCAAGAATCTCACCGTGACCAAGTTCAGTTTGAGCATAGGCGCCCAGTATTCTGCAACTGTTGGCTAATGGCAGCCATTTTGCTTTTTGTTCATCTGTGGCTAATCTTTCTAAGGCAGGTATAAACATTGTATGGTGAAGCGACAAGGATATTTCTTTACGTAATAACCTACAAAATGTATTTAGAATCAATATTAAACAACACATAGGGTAATCAATTGTGTTGATAATCACAATCCAAATGGGTGCAAATGAAGTGAATGGGGTTTTAAGTCTTACTTTTCTGCACATTGTGGATAGGATGGCGGCATTAGCCTGCTCTTTTTTGCTTTCCAACTGTCGAGGATCTTTAACGTGCGCAGCCTAGGGTTGGTCCCATCTGAACGAATAAACGCTTCTTCTATATAAGGCTCTCTTACCTGTATCACTGACAGGGGGAAACTGGGTTGATATTATCTCAACCTATGCTGGAATTGAATCCTCGACCTTTAGGATAGTGAGCAAGCATCTAACTCACTGAAACACTTGTAAGCAACGAGTTCAACGCAATCTTGAATAATTGGGGGCTCATCTTTGCAACTGGCAAAATTTGACTACCGGTACTAGCAATTGATGGCACTGGCATGTAGATAAATCTGACAAATCGCTAATTTTAGTTGACCTCAGCACGCCTGCTAAAGTCCAAGATATAGGCTTTAACATTTGGAGTCTAAATATAGCTTACCGTTCTGCCAATGTGTAATCATCTTCACTCCACTGATATTTACGTTTTAACTGAAACAATCGGACAGATTTCTCTACACCATGTTCATATAACTCTGATTTTGACATGAAATGTCTATCAGGATTGGTAAAGACAGGATCAGTAAACAGAAGCTGCTCTGTAAGATAAATATTGTTGTTATGCGTTGGACTAAAAACATTATTTCAATACTGTCTGACCACTGTCATTTCCTAATTGCATTTCGTAAATCACATTTACAAAAATGACATATCTGAACTAAAATAGTACAGTGATGTAACCTATTTTCGTGGATATAAGGATTCAACACCGAATTTCGACAAAGTTAAAAAAACGGAAAAAACTTTTTTATGTCTTAGATGTTTCCTCAAATATTCTACAAAATAATTAAAATTGGTTTGTTTCGATTTTCTTTATGAATCCTTCACTTTGACCCATATTTTATGAGCAACCATGAATGCGTCACCTATTTTCGTGTACAATGTTTGATCTATAAATAAGGCAAGAAAAACACGTTGTATGGATACCGGGTGGTATAATTAACTTCTCTTAGTATTTATCTTTAATATCAATTCATTATAACCAGTGACAATTCGTTCAAAGAACCACGATTTTAAAAAAAAAAAATAGTGACTGACAAAATAAGATATGTAGCGTGATTTATTGCTAAAAGTCACTGAAACAACATAAGAATATGGCCCACTTTGTGTTCCATAGAAATTTTCTGCTACGAATCGCTAGTGGATCGCGTGACTTCATTCGTTGGACTACATTCTAGCAAACGACACTTGGAATTCCGATTACAGCATTGGATTATAAGGAACTTCGGCCGATAAAAAATGGTGACGTTTGGTAATAAGTGAAATCCGCCATTTTGTATTTGTCAAAGTATACATTATACATTCTACTAGCTGATATTGTAGAGATAACACATGTTTATCGAAACAAGCAAATGCGGAGGTCACGCAAGGTCGCACATGTAAATTATTAATCATTTCCGGAAATGCACAAAAAATAGGTTAGCACGAAATTAGGTTACTTGACTGTAATGAAACTCTCAATGTATCTTTGTAATAATGTAGGCTAATTCTGAATCAATTAAAAAGTCATTTTGGGAATGCCAGTCTTCAATTCCTTATGTGACATCTGGGACTACAAGAGAAGTGTATGAATTTCAAATGTAAAATTAGCAAGCCATATATTTTATGAACCCAAATACAACTTAAGACAAACAACATGTCAATTTTGATTAAAATCTTAAAATTCATATGAGACCATTGAAAATGACAGAAAAAAAAACAAATCAGTAGTAGGGCAGTAAGTAATCAAAAAAAGAAAAAAAAGTCAGTCAATGACACTTCAGACGTTTTTGACAAATTAAAAAACTCACTTGATAAATCATGATCAAAGTTCAATTAACAGCTGTTGTGATAATAAGAGCTAATTGCCGATTTCATTGACAACAAAGAATTGTAATAACACGTTAACCGGCTGTTGCTGCATCAATTCATAGCAACACTTACCTAATTCCTTTCGCCGTTTAGTTCGTTTAGGACCACCATCAAGTATACTAATTAATTCTTGAACATTAAAACTGGCTTTGTTTCTCTCCTTCTGCAATTCTGGATTTATTTTCATTTGTTCTTGCGATAAGACATTAATGGAGCTCGCCATTTTGTTATCTAAGTATCACGTGATAAATAATAACAAAATAAAATGTAACCATGTTAGTTGAATTCTGGCTTAAGAGGTAACCAAATTAATTATTTCGTAACCACATCATGAATAATTATCCTTAATGATTAATCAATATGTACATGTATTGCAAAAAATAGTCAGTATGTTTTGGTCGGTAATTTAAAAAAAAAATGTTTGCAAAAAGAGTACCCATTATTAAAGACGTGTTGCCTCAGACCAAGTTTCCTTCAAATCTCCAACAAAGAATTGTATCTTAAAGAGTGTTTATGAATTTAGAATAAACGCGTTTTGAAGAACATAGGCAATTGACTATATCAAATAATTTTCCTATTTTTTTTTTTTTTTTTTTTGTGAGGGGGATTCAACCTTAAGGTTAGCGCACACGAGAGCTCCCAGCTGAGCAAAATTTCATTTGTGTCTCCCAGCTCAGCTCGCAGATTTCGTCGGTTTCCACCGCACACGCTAAGCTTAGAGCTCACGTACACGGAGTGTCGAGCATAGAGTTATATTCAGTGGTGTAACCTATTTTCGTGGATATAAGGATTCAATACCGAATTTCGTCAAAGTTAAAAAAACGAAAAAAAAAATTTATGTCTTAGATGTTTCCTCAGATATTCTACAAAATAATTAAAATTGGTTTATTTCGATTTTCTTTCTGAATCCTTCATTTTGACCCATATTTCATGAGCAACCAACTCGGCAACGGCGGCAGAATGCGTCACCTATTTTCGTGTACAATGTTTGATCTATAAATAAATCGAGAAAAACACGTTCTATGGATACCGGGTGGTATAATTTACTTCTCTTAGTATTTATCTTTAATATCAATTCATTATAACTAGTGACAATTCCTTCAAAGAACCACGATTTAAAAAAAAATAGTGACTGACAAAATAAGATACGTAGCGTGATTTATTGCTAAAAGTCACTGAAACAACATAAGAATACGGCCCACCTTGTGTTCCATAGAAATTTTCCGCTGACACGGAATCCGCTTGTTGATCACGTGACTTCATTCGTTGGACTACACTTGGAATTCCGATTACCACTGGATTATAAGGAAATTCGGCCGATAAAAAATGTTCAGTGTGCCCAAAATCAAGGTGATATTTCTCTATGTTAAGTGAAATCCGCCATTTTGTATTTGTCAAAGTATACATTAATACATTTTACCTTGCTTGAAACTACTGGATTCATTCTACTAGCTGACATTGTAGAGAAAACCCATGTTTATTAAAACAAACTAACGCGGAGGTCGCGCAAGGTCGCTCATGTAAATTATTAATCATTTCCGAAAATCCACGAATAATAGGTTTCCACGAAATTAGGTTACTTGACTGTATAGAAAAATACCTTAACGTGTGCGCACTCGAAAGCTCTTAGCTTTAAACTTTGAACTGGGGCGCATGCGCTAGCACGGGCTCAAACAAAAATGGCTGTGCCCATCGGTGAATGCGAGTTTGTATAAACTGAAGCAATTATCAAATACAAGTTGGTGGACGTATGGCCGGAATATCCGTGCCTGTACGACGTACCGATTCCCCAATTTAAAAACAACAAAAGAAGAAGTAAAATTTCTTCATATTCTGAATCATTCGAAGGGTTATCGACGTCCGACATTTTGTTTAAGTCACGTGAGAATGTCACGTGATCTAGTTATTTTAGACGTCTATGACTCGACACCCCATTTACCTTAGCGTGTGCGGGGGAAACCGACGTAAGCTGCGAACTGAGCTGGGAGACACGAATGAAATTTTGCTCAGCTGGGAGCTCTCGTGTGCGCTAGCCTTAAACCCCGCGCACATGAGAGTAGTATATGTGTTTTCTGATATAGCGCATCCAGTTTGATCCGGTTTTGAGATGTCAGGTATATGTCTTTTCGGATATGACGCATTTCACTTCTGTGCATGCGCGGCTTTTTCAATGCGTCATATCCGAAAAGACACAACTGTTAAAATGTATTATAACAGACTTCCCCAAACTGTTAAAAAAATATATCATAACAGATTCCTCCAAACTGTATTATAAATTACCCCAAACCACAGACAAGAATCACTAATAATAATACAGTATAAAATAACCGCATTAAAAATGTCTTTAATTTTAAAACACGAACAAAAAAAATTCGAAGGAGACAGTTTCTTCTCTGCGCTAACATCTCTCATCACCAAAGTGGCCAATTTTGTCTCAAACAACAAATCCCTCATTTCCTCAGAAGCGCATGCTCTTGGATCTGTGGCAAAAGCAGGAGTAAATATTAGCGATGCAGTGAAAAAATCTGACGAACTTAAAGAACTGCAGCTAATAAATGAACTAAGAAACAAGAGACTAGAACGACAAGCCCTAGAAAAACAAGGAAAAGGGTTTAAAATCATTGGATAAAAATGGCAAGCAAAAATTACAGATTGGATCCAATCTTTCAATTGTATGATCCGATTCAATATTCGTTCAACAAGAAGAAAGAGGATTACGTAATCATCTCACCATGGTAGGGACAAAGACCCAAATAAACGACGGAGGAAGAGTTACCTTTGAAATTAATTCGTTGTCCAATTGGTTGCTGCTTTCCGATGCCCATTTCCGATGCGATTTCAAAATCAAAGACGCCGCTCAGAATCGAATTCCACAAACCAACACGACTTTAGAAAACAACTTCTTTCCGTCTTTATTCAGCGAAATGGTTTTGGAAGCTGGTTCAAATCCGATAGAGACCATAAAACACCCCGGCGAGTTTGACACAATGTTGAAAACGGTTCTGTATCCCAAAAACTACGAATCAGTTTCGGGATGGATTCCCGATGTCTGTGACGGAGAAGTTTTAAAAGAACCAGTCAGAACTGTAGCAAATGACGCAGACCTTGCTAGGATAAGGGTAGTTGCTAGAAACACACTGGAAAGAGTGACTCGCGGAGTAAATCACGGATTTGAAAAACGAGCGCTTCAATACAACAATGTTGTCGAGAACAACAGATGGGGTAATTACGTAAATTGGAAGTTGTATCCTTTATTTGGTCTCTTGGAACATAGAAAGGTTTCCATAGGTTTACCGTATAAAATTCATTTGCAAAGAGAAATCATCGACAACAAGATATTCTTTGGTGAAAACAACTCTGACGCAAAATTGGAAATAACGAATATCCAACTTTACATACCGGTAATCACTCCTTCCGTAGAAGTGGAAACGAGAATATTCAACTCTTTAACCAAAGACATCGAAATTGCTTTTCTTCGTCGTAACACGGTAGGTAGCATGACTTTAATGGGAGAATCCACCACGTGGCCAATTACCAACACCGCCAAACCAGCGAGATATCTAATGGTCGGTTTCAAAAACTTGCCAGACTCTCAGACAAACAACAACAACATTTTCAGAGTGGCATTGAACCATACTCAAGATCCCATCATTCGCAAAGTTCAAGTCAGATTGAACAACGATAGTTATCCCAATCAACCTTTGACAATTGATCCTTTCAAAAAATAAATTACAATGAATTGTACAGAAACTATAAAAACATGTGCGAATTGTTTGGAAATACTCCTCAGTTTGAATACACAGATTTTTCATCACTCAATCATCCAATCTTTTGTTTCGATCTGTCAGCTCATCAAGAAGATCTTTTCAAAACAGGGGTAAACATAAATATTCACATCGATAAAACACAAGGAGATGTGACCGGCTACTGTTTATTGCTGGAAGAAGCAAAACATTTGATTAAAATATCAGATAGAAGAATGATAAGAATTGAATAAAAAAACACCCTTTAAAAATGAAACCAGAAACTTTAGTTATGAAAATAATAGAAGCTATCGAAACGAATTCGCCGACTCTAATAACTTACAACGGTAAAAAAGTGCATATAACCCAAAAGATTATCGATAAATACAAACATTGCAAAGTTAGAGACGATATAGACTTGGAAATAATTGATGAGAATTTAACTAAAAAGGTGGATTTTTACCTTTCTTACCTTTAATCTTTGCTGGTTTAGCTGCAGCTGGTGCAACTGCTGGTGGAGCTGCTGGGATAGCCAAAGCTGTCAACGATAAGAAAGCTGAAGCCGCTGCAAACGCCGAAGCACTTAGACACAATTTGGCAATGGAAAGAGAAGCACGAGGAGGTTCGGGAGTAGGAGATATATTAGGGACGATTAAAGAATTCGGACAAAGATTTGGCGAAGAAACCAAGAAAACCGTTAAAGAGGGATTAAGCAAATTAATAGATAAAATCGACACTGGAGAAATGAAGTTCAAACACAAGGGCAACGCCATATTTTTTAAAAACATACGTTCGGGCGAGGGAATCTTTCTTTCAAAGTATAAAGGCAACGGGGTGATTTTTGGTACGAAAATGTAATAAATAAAAATGGGCAAGAAATTCAAACATTCGGACATATTTCCTAGTAACCCAATGCTCATGTGTATTTGCGGTAGTTCAGGTTCTGGGAAAACTCATCTCACTTTTAACATGTTGACAACACCAAACCTTTTAGATTTCGATTCTCTGTATATCTACACAACAACACCAGAGCAATCGTATTATCAATTCCTCAAAGCTTTAGAATATTTACCAAAGAAAGACGTTCAAGACATATTTCAATATTACGAAGAAAACGAAGAAGAAGAAGTGGAAATAAAAGATATCATAGAAAACTTCATTAAATCAAAGAATCCATCTTTCAATCGAACGGATATAAAAGTTTTTCTTACGAAAAATGTTAATGATATAGACTTGTCTAATATTGATAGCAATCGAAAGAACTTAATATTGTTTGACGACTGCGTAGCGCAAAGAAATCAAACAGTTCAACAAGAATTCTTCACCAAAGGAAGACATCACAACTGTCACTGCATAAACCAACCCCAATCTTTTTACGGGATGGATTCTATGTTCATTAGAAAAAATGCAAATTGTTTTTTATTATTTGAATTAAATGATAAAGATTTATCTCAAATCATTCAGTCTATAAATCACGGAATGGATAGAGATACATTTAAAAAGGTTTGTAAAGCTCAATGGAGAATCCCAGATGATCATGGATATGTATTTGTAAATACTAGAAAACCTGCGGGAGAAAGAGTTATGATCGATATATGTTAATTTTATTTTTTTAAAAATGACGGATTGGAATAATTTTTTAAAAAGAAATAGAGAATATATCAAAGCTAAGAATAAGATAAAGACCCAAGTTGAAAATAACAGATTACAACAACTCGGATTACCGGAAAATCTACAGACTCTATTTCAACCCATATTAAAAAGTCAAGAAGATATTAAAAAGAGACTCGCTATAGAACCCACGCCTCGTATAAAACCCAAACCGATTGAATATAATGGTATTATAATTAGGACATTAGATGATATAAAACGTCTTTTTTCAAACCCTGACCCAGATTTACCAAAGAGCATTTCACCAATCATTGATGAAGTGGGGTTATTGTTTAGTGGTTTTAGAATAAGATTTAGTGGAAATTCACCACAATTCAAAATCGACACAAAAGACTTTATATTTACATTAACGAGAGGGTTGATAGATTTAATGAATGGCGAGGATGTTGAAATTGCCGATTACAAGGATTTAGTAGCATACTCAAAATTTCTACATGCGATCAGAAAGTCAGGACCCGAAACAAGAAGATTGAAAGAAGTTGATTTATATATAACAAAAGTTATTGAGCAAGAGGAGGTAGATGATTATGCAGAAGATTATCCACCAATCTTACAAGAAATAGACGAATTCGATGATATGGTGGCATCTGGACAAGGTATAACGTTTTTTATCCGACAACAATAAAGAATTGCTTAATAGATTAGAAATAATATTAGCGGCCATGAAAGAAGGTCATCGATCGGACAGACAATACAACGAAGTCAATGGCATATTAAAACGGCTTTTGGAGAAAAAAATCATCACTAAAAAAGACTATATAAACGTCATTAAAAATGTCCAATATCACCTGGAATAAATCAGACATCAAATTGTCTCTGGACTACGAGTATGAACTCGATCGCAATAAACAGTACGAACTGGGATTAAAGTATTTCTCCGTTTACAATTCCATTAGAAACATCAACGAAAACAACAATCAACTAAAAATATCGACGGATAACGGAGTTACGTTCAAAACCATAAGCTTACTAGCGGGAAGCTACGAATACGTAGTCATCAACGATTACCTATCCGAATACGCAGAAAGCGTGAACGGCAAAAACAATATCGAATTCGAAGGTAATTTGAATCTGAACAAAATAAAACTGATCTTGAGAAATAACAGTCAATTCGATTTCAACGTAGAAAATTCGTTGAATGCGTTACTAGGGTTCGATAAACGAATATACGCGCAATCGACATTGGCGCCGCACAAGGCCAACATCGAGAACGACATCGACGTGATCAACATTCACTGTAATTAGATCAACGGTGGATTTTTCAACAAGCACAAACGCCAAATCATATACAGCATACCTACTTTTACGGTGCCGATCGGATACAGAATTATAGAGAAACCGTTTCAAACGACCTATTTACCAGTCAATTCTTTCATGATCAAAGATATAAATCTGGAAATCAAAGACTGTAAAAACAGGTTCATAGACTTTGGCAACGAAGAAATTGTCATTCAACTTCATTTAAAACAATCTTCATTCTCTTCTTGAATAGTAAGATAATCGAAATCATCAAATTCATAGTTTTCGTCAAAACTATACTCATCTTTGTCGTTGTAAGGATACATAATTCCTTCACTGTTTGGTGGTTTTCTTTTAACATTATTCAAATAACTTCTAAAAACTTTAGTTTGTTTATCATTTGGAATAACTACTCCATGGATGAAACTTTTTTCCCATGGTTTATTAAATTCGTTCGACACATCATGTCCGCTTGCGAACTGAACGTAATCTTCTACACTTATCTTATCATTAGAATAACCTTTAAACGTTTTCTTTTCTTTTAAGACACCATCAGAAGTCAAAAGGTTGTATTTGACTTTTGGTGCTAAATATAAACCAAATATAATTCCACCGTCACCGTAATAGTTTTTACCTTTGCAATAGTCTTTTTCGGAGACCAAACCAGCTCTGTTTAGTTTTTTCCAATTTTTGGATGAAATGTACAAACTATCGGTGTCGGTATAGTAAATTTCGGGTTTATAAAATCCATTTATGACGTGAATGAAATTGTTCATTATTTTTTTACTGTGAGATAAAACGAATGATCCCAAATGACTAGGTGTTAGTCGTGTAGATTTACTATCTTCGGTAGTAATCTCTTTTTCTTCAATTTCTGTTTCAACAATATATTGAGTATCATTAATTTTCTCATAGGTTTTAACGCGTGAATCAAAGTTGGCCTGTAAAGTTGCTTCATTCCATAAATGTCTAGTTGTGAATATATCTTTCTGAATTGATTTACCATACAAGGAATTACCTAATAATTTCATGCAATTACTACCCACGATATTACCTTCTCGTTTATATTTATTTCTTAGATCTCTCAAAATTAAAATATAATCTCTATAGGGTGGAGTTTTAAAATTTTCTTCGTAAACTATACCATCTAATATTCTAATAATTCGTCCACCAGATTTCACTATTTCTTGAATATCGACCGACGTTAATACGTCGTGACAGAAACCATTTCTGAACCTGATTTTGTTACCAGTTTCCTTTTTACCTTCTTTATTCGTGAAAGTGATTTTATCTTTAGCTGGTATCGGTTGGAAGAACATGTTTTTGGGATAGTCAAACCACACTGTTAAAATAGCTGTTCTAGGTCTGAATTTTTGTTTATTGAAGAGTTTTACAAATTCTTTTTCTTCTTCTGGTAGAAACGGTCTTCCACTTTCCGCTCTCGGATATTCACTGTCTAAATCCGACATGGCGGAAGCGTATAAACCGTTAGCATCAAATGCCATTAGTTTAGTACATTCTACTTTTTTAAGTCTCGAATGAACCTCCGTTTTGTCTTTTGTGCTTGCACTGTATTCTTTGAATAAATCAATTATGTTATTACTTTCTGTTTGTGAAATATATTCCTTTAATACGTTACAAATTTCATCCATGATCCAAATGATTTTCTATTTGCCGAAACTCTTCCTCCTTAAATAGATCGTCTGATAAAATTTCTTATAAAAGGATTAGTGTGTGAATAAACTTTTTCTACGTTTTCTTTTTCGGTATGTTTCGCAACCATTCTAGTAGTTTCAAACCATTCTTCTTTCAACATTTCTTTATCGTAATG